GCGCGGCTGGGACGAGGGCGCGCTCGTGGTGCCCGCGGGCACCCTCGTCTTCACGGACGGCTCCTGCGTCAACAACGACTTCCCGATGATCAGGAGCGCGGGCTGGTCGGTGGTGGTGCTCACGCCCGACGGCGAGTGGATGGCGCAGGCGTGGGGGGCGGTGCCGCCTGCCCTTGTGCCCAGCCAGACGGCGAGGGCAGGCGAGGACTACGCGGCGGTGGTCGCCCTCACGGACATCGTCGGCCACTACCACCTCATGATCGACTGCCTCGGCACGGTCGGGGCCTGCAAGGACGTGAAGAGGGCGGCGGGCCCGACGGCCCAGTTCGCCCACCTCTGGGCGAGGGTCGGCGACGCCGCCGAGGGGGTGCACGTGAAGCACATCCCCGCCCACCGTTCGCGGGCGGCCGTCGAGCGGGGCGAACTCACGGAGGTGGAGCTCTACGGCAACCGCCTCGCGGACCAGCTCGCGAAGGCGGGCGCGGCGCTGCGCGCCATCGCCGACGAGGAGGCCCTCCTGCTCCAGGGCTGCCTGGCCCGAGCCCGTGACGCGGCGCGCTACGCCGCCGAGTTCGAGGTCCAGGCCACGGAGTCGGGCATGCGGGACTCCTGGCCCATCAGCTCGCTGGAGCTGGTCGACCTCACCCCCTACATGGCGGCGGAGCTCGACGGCGAGGCCGACTACTTGTACGCCGCCGTCGCGGAGCCCGCCCCTGGGACAGGTGGATTCAGCCCACCGAAGTCGCAGTCCCAGGGGCGCGGCGAGTTCGGGATGATGCACGACGCGGAGGTGCGCGCGGCTGACGATGGCGAGGTGCAGGCCTCGGTGGCTGACGGCGGCCCCCTCCTCGCCACGGCGGCGGCCCCGGCAGCGGCGGCGGCAGCTGGCGCCTCCAGCTCGAGGCCTTCGCCCGCGAGGCGCCGCCCAGCCTCGGCCGAGACGCCCGCGGAGGTGCTGCGCCGAGTGGCCCAGCGCAGGGCGCAGGAGCAGCCGAGGCGCCGCGAGGCCTCGGCGCCCGCGCCCAGCCCGCGCCTGGCGGCGGCAGCGGCGGCGTGCAGCGGCCCAGCCCCTGCGGAGGCGGCAGATGCGGCCCGTCCAGCGGGATGGAGGGTCAACGGCCACCTCCTAATGGAGTCGCGCGTCGAGGGCGACGACTCCGAGCCCTTCCTGGTCTGCGCGGCTTGCTGGATGTACTGCCGCCTCCCCAGGTACGCGCACCGCGGCCTGGACAAGCCGTGCGGGGCCAGCGCGGCGGCTGGGCAGCCCAAGAGCAAGAAGGGCTCCAGGGCACAGGCGCGGTCGGACTTCGCACGTGGCATCCTGCCAGCGTCTAAGGATCCGATCGCGCCGCTGGCCTCGCCAAAGGAGAGCACGCGCCTGCGCTGGGCGGCGGCACTCCAGGCCAGGCAGGGCCACGGCGCGGTGGTGCAGGCGCTTGAGGCGGCGCCCGCGCCAGCGCAGCGGCAGCCTGCAGCCGCCCCGCCCCCGCCACCTGCGGCTGGCGCTGGGAGCCAGGATACAGCGCCGCCGAGCGCCGCGGCGCCCCGGCGCCTGGCCGCGGCGTTCCCGCGGGCGGAGGCCGCCGAGCCGCGGCGGATCCGCCCAGGGCTCGAGGGCGTCCTCCGAGCCCACGGCTTCGCGGACGCTGCGGCGGCCCGCGAGCGCGGGAGAGCCGCGAGGGCAGCGGCCGCCCGCGCAGGCCGCGCGGCGGAGCTCGCCGAGGGCTGGTGAGGGCTCGGCAGGTGGCTGTAAGTGCTCTCGCGGCCCTCCGCCTGCCCTGCCGCCCCCTCTTTCGAATGCATGCATGAAACCTCCGCGGGTCTCGTCGCGCGGAGCCCACAGAGATAAAAAAAAATGCCCCCACCGTGTGTAGTCAACACCTGGACCAAGACAGGTCTCAGTGAGGGAACGAGAGTGACAAGTGACATGCACACTGCAGGTTCGTGAGCCCGCGTTCAGGCGCGTAGTGTCGTGGAAGCGTCGTGGGCCCTCGTGGGGCCAGGCTCTCGTGGAAGCGTCGTGGGCCCCCGCCGATGTAGTTAACCCCTGGGCCTATGCAGTTAACACCTCGAACCACGTACAATGCAGACTGCAGGTCCGTGGGCCCGTCCGTGGGCACTTGCCGATGCGACGCGCGACCCGTCCTGCAGAATTATGATGCTGGCCTGCGCCGCCCGTGTGCGGCAGAAGGGGGCGCGCGCCGCCTTCGCGCCGGCACGCGCCGTCAGCCCCGACGGCTCTCCTTCCTCGCTCATCATTCCCTGTTCGCCCCCGCTCTCCACTCCCTCCCTCCCATGTCCCCCCCTTGCCTGTCCCCCTTGCCCTTGTCCGTTCCTACGTCGTGCTTCTGCACCGTGCTTTCTCATTCTGCTACTCACTCGCTCCTTCCTTCTTCTGGCTTCATCCTTCCATCCTTCATTCCTTCCTTCCTTTCTTCCTTCCTTCTTTCTTCTTCTTCTTCTTCTTCTTCATCTTTCCTTTTTCTGCCTTCCTTCCCCTCCCTCCGTTCCGGAGGGACTCTGGCAGCAGTTTCTATGGGAGGTGGCGAAGCTTCCCCGATTAAGGAGACGAGTTGCGCGGACTGTTCTTAGGGACGAGCGTCGTGGAGTTTTCCAAGGTTCCTTCTATGAGCCATTGTAGGACACCACCCAAACACTGTCTTCACTGAAAGCACTCTCACCCCTTCGGGAAGAATCATTTCCCGTCGGCGGGACTTTCTTCAGTCTGGCCCTGGCCCCAACTGCCCCCCCCAGCCCTGGTGCCTCCCCCCCGCCGCCGCCGATCTCCTTGGCTCCTCCCTGCCCACGGCTGCCCTGACTCCTGGTGCCGGCCCTCCGCTGCTGCCGCTTTCCTCGGCTCGTCCCTGCCCGCCTGGCTGTCCCGACTCCCTGGTGCTCTGGTGCTCGCCAGCCCTCCGCTGCCGCCGATCTCCCCGGCTCGGCCTCGTCCCCGACCGTCCCCGGCTCTGGTGCGTGTCCTCCGTCGCCGCCGATGTCATCGGTTCGCCCTTGTCCCCGGCCGTCTCTGTCCATGGAACTTGCCCTGCGTCGCCGACGTTCTCCCCTGTCGGCCTTGTCCCTGGCTGTCCCTGGTAATAGTACTTACCCTCGGTCTTAGTCGATCTCATTTGTTCGACTCTCTCTCCCGCCGTTCCTGGTCCTGGTGGTTACTTTCCGTGGTCGTCGACCCCTCTGGTCCACGACTTTTCCCGACTCTTGCGCAGGCTCTGTGCTGCCTTGTTACTTGTTATGTTTGTAGTCCGCGCGGCGGTCTCTTGCCACAGCACTGTCGCTGGGCGCAGCAAGATAATTGTCGATGCGTCCAGACTGTGAGTCGTGATAATCTTCCCCACTTGGGCTTGTCACAGGGATTCTTCTGCTACCTGTATCCACAGCTAGTTGAGCATACAGTGTAAAACAACACACCTACAATGCTGAACTTGGAGACCTCTGGGAGCCTTTGGGGGGCCTCCGAGACATCTTGGAGTCATCCTGGAGGTCTCTTGGGGTCTGGTCGGGAGCCTTTGATGTCCTCTTAGTGCTGTTTTGGGGCCGCTTGGAGCCATTCTGGAAGCCAGCGATCCAAAGAGAGGAAGTCCTAAATTAGCTCCCCCTGCTCGGAGGCAGAACATTCGCCTATCCGGCCCTCCTGGGACGCTCTTGGGGTGCTCTTGGGGGCTTTGGGGGTCGTCCTGTAGCGCTTAAGGGCGTCTCGTGCGGCTCTTGGGCGATCTTGGAGCCTTCTTGAAGTCTGATGAGAAGCCCACTGGATTAGAAACGGCGAACGACAAATCATATATTTATTTTTTCATACTAGCGACTCGTAGTATTATGGCAATGCTTTCGAGGATTCTCGGGGGTACACTTGAAAGGTTCCATGATCACCAGGAACAGTCTCTGGGCCGGTTGGCCTCGTGGGCGCTCTTATCGAGCTGTCTTGGAAGGCATCGTCGGATGCTGGAGACGTCCGAGAGTGGAGTTGAGGCGTCCTCGAGTCCAGAAGGTGCGTTGCAAAAAGAGGAGGAGGAGGAGGAGGAGGAGGAGGAGGAGGAGGAGGAGGAGTAGGAGTAGGAGGAGAAGGCGGAGGAGGAGGAGGAAGAGGAGGAGGAGAGGGAGGATGTGGGAGGAGGCAGGAAGTAGTGTCAGGAGGAGGGGCAGGCAGGAGGAGGCCGAAGGAGGAGGTAGGAGGCGGAGGTAGGACGTGGAGGAGGAGGAGGAGGAGGAGGACGAGGAGGAGGTGCGTTGAGAAGGTGCGCCTGACGGGGAAGAGGAACGGGGGACAGCCAATCATCTCACACGCCGTGTCGCCCCCAGCAAGCGGGGGTTGGCGGACTTGCAGTGCATATGCACCTGCAACTGCCAGCATACCAAGGACTGGGGTCGCGCCAGGGTTATGTTTTTAAGCGGTGGTTTTGGAGGCCTGGTGGATGCCCTGGCGCAGGTGGGTTGGCCAGTGGTCGTCTGCAAGGTCGCAGGGTTCAATATCGATCATGGCGGGAGAAACGAATCTGCTTGTCGTGCTAGAGACAGAGAGAACGGAGACCGTATCTCGTCCTTCTCTGGACAGTATTGTCTCCTCGCTTTTCTCTGCCTTCCCTTCCTGCTCCCGCCTCGCTTTCTTGCCCCGCCCTTTGATGCGGCCCCCCCGTTCCCTCACATGTCCTACGCTTTCTCATCTGTTGCCTCCTCCCCCCCGTGCCATCCCGCGTGCGCACGCATGCGCGCACATGCGAGCCTTGGCGACACACATATCTCGTGCGTTTCCTTGATCGTCGTGCGCACTTGCACCTAGTCTGATCGAGACACGTGTCAGCCTGGCCAGGTTTCTAGTGTCGTTCGCTTGTGGTGCTCTAGTTCGTGCATAGAGCCTCAGTGGTTGAACAATCCGATGTGGAATCATAGTCTGATTTCTTTTCAGGTGTGAACGTTCGCTCTAGCTATAATGCAGCTTGTTCCGGCACTCCCTTATTGCGCGGGTGATTTGGCAGCGCATTGCGAAGGTCCTTCGATTGGAAGTTCGTGATGACATCCGCGAGAACGATGAGGACCGACCTGCACCGTAAGCTTCACATGTGTACAAGTGGTGCCAGTCAGCACGCAATGAGGAACGCGATGTAGCGGGTGATTTGCAATACCCTATGGTATCAGTTATCGTTGCCCCTGAGTGCCTTCAAAACGTGTAGATCGGCAGAATGAACTTGGCGAAGCATCGACTCATATGTTCTTTTTTTTCAAGAGGCTTGCGCCATTCTGCCGATCCCCAGAAGAGGCGTGCGTGAACAAAGGTTTCATTGCGCGCTCATGGGTAGCGTTCCAGTGTTCGGATTTGCGCTCGGAGTGGCTCCCGTGCAGTCGCATCCACGCGTACGGGGCTAATTTTACCCGCGTTGCGTGGGAGGGCAAACATAATAGTGGTGTGTGCCGCGCAAGGTGGGATCATGAGGGGGGCGACGGGGAGCGGGAGGGCGATGAGCAGGAACAGAAGGGGCGCGTCGTGCGAGCATGGGTTTGGGGATGTTTTTTTGGGGAGGGTTGTGGGTGGGGTCGTGTTGCGAGTGGGTTGGTGGGTAAGGTGGGCGGGGTGGGCGGAGTGGACGGGGCGTCGATAGAACCTTTTCATCCGTGGGCTTGGGGAATGAGAGGGAAGGAAGGATATGATGAAATGGACGACCACGGTGAGAGTAAGACGGCGGAGAGGAGGAGAAGATGAGGAGGAGGAGGAGGAGCAGGAGGAGGAGGAAGAGGAGGCCCCCAGGAGGGCACCTCGGCGTGTGGGCGGCACGTCGGGGCTCCTGGGGGATCCGAAATCCGCTAGAACGTCGCCTGCGCAGGGGCGGCGCGGCGGGCCAGGGTCGTTGGTGCCCTGGCGGGCCTTGGGCGGCCCCCCCGACTCTGCCGGGTGGTCCCCGCGAGGAGTCGGTCTGCCGTCCCAGGTCCCTTGGGGACCCGACGTTCTGGGGCCGCGTGGGTAGCCCCCCAGGGTTGGCGCGGATTGATTCTCCAGTTTGCGTCGGCCTCGGCGGTGCCAGCCTATGCGGGGGCTGGCTCTGGCCACTGTTGGGGCCCGCCCCTGACGTCGGGGTGTCGGGTGTGGCCAGAGGGGTCGGCTCTCGTTTAGAGTACGGCTCAAGACGTGTACCGCCTGGCCTCTCTTGGGGCGGGCCAGGTTACCCATGTACGGTAACACGCGCCGTGTGCCCCGCACGGTGACGTGGGGTAACCTGTGTCCCCTGGCGCAGGTAGAACCAGGGAGGCATGGGGGCCTCCCGCCATCGGTGGGTCGGCGGTGCTCATGGAGCTCCACGTGGTGAGCCTGGCGCCTCATCTCTTTCTTTTCTTATTTCTTCTTCCTTTTTTCTCTGCTCCAGTGGGTCGCGGGGCCGCGGGTTTGCCCCGCCTCATATCCGTGGCGAGGGGTGAACCTGGCCGCAATGCCGAGTCTAGGAGGAGGAAAGGGGAGGAGGGGGGAGGAGGGGGCGGAGGAGGAGGAGGGGGAGGAGGAGGGGGAGGAGGAGGAGGAGGAGGAGGAGGAGGAGAAAGGAGGAGCAGGAGGAGGAGGATGAGGAGGGAGGATGAGGAGGACGAGGAGGAGGAGGAGGAGGAGGAGGAGGAGGAGGATACTGTAGATGAAACGGATGTAAATGCTGCTGCTGATGCTGATGACTGGCGAACTGGCTGGCTGGCTAGCTGGCTGATGATGCTGTTACTGATGACGACGATGCTGATGATGCTGGTCCTGCTGCTGACGATAATGGTGATGATGAAGATGACAATGGTGATGATGAAGATGACGATGACTATACGGCTGCTGATTTTGATGATTGCGACGCAAACGATTTTGGTGATGATGCTGATGCGGATGCGGCTGACGGTTCTGCTGGGTATGATGGTGGTGGTGGTGACGACGCTGCTGATGCTTATGATAAAGCTGTTGCTGCTGTTGACGATGGCGCTGGTGCTAGTGACGACAGTGGTTCTGATGATGCCTGTGATAATGCTGGTGATGATGGCGATGTTGATGCTGATGGTCATGTGGATGTTGATGGCGATGCTGGCGGTTTCGACGGTGCTGCTGCGAATGATGGTGGCGATTATGATGGTGATGATGATCATGATGCTGCTTAGGATGATGATTATGATGATGGCGCTGATTATGTTGATCACGATGTTTCTTAACATGAGTGTTGTCATGACAGTGTTTATGCGGATGATGATGTCGATGCTGCTGATGATGATGGAGGTGATGATGCTGATGCTGATGATTGCTGTGCTGAGTATGATGATGCCCGTGGTGCTGATGATGATGAGGATGCGGATTGTTATGCTGTTGCTAATGCTGATGACGATGAGGACGACGACGGTGCTGCTGATGTTGTTGCTGTTGACGCTGCTGCGGATGCCCAATATTAATATGATGACGATGTTGCTTCTGATGATGATGCCGCTGAGGGTGATGATGCTCACGCTGCTTCTGATGATGGTGCTGCAGATGACGGTGGTGTTGGTGATGATTATGATTATGCTGATGATGATGGTGGGTGTTTATGACGATGATGAGGATGAGGCTGCGGGTGATGATCCGGATGAGGATGATGACGATAATGATGACGATGGTGATGCTGATAATGATGATGATTATGATGATGATGATGCCGAGGAGAAGGAGAAGAATGAGGAAAAGGAGGGGGAGGGCCTGGACGACGGGAAGGTGTGTGATGTTCTGGGGGCCCTCCTCCCATCCTCTTCTTCTTCCTCCTCCTCCTCTTCCTCCTCCTCCTTCTCCTTCTCCTCCTCCTCCTCCTCCTCCCCCTGCGCTGCTTAGTCTTGTGTACGCCCTTCCGCCCAAACCAGTGAGGGAATTTGGGCAGCTCTTTTCCTGGCAGTAGCGGAGGTTGCTCTAGTGCGCCATCCACCGTGAGGGAGGGGCGTCTTGAAGTTGTCGTGGCCTGCAGGCCCACGAGCATTGTCTACTGAGCAAGTGCGTCCGTTTGGGGTCGTCGGTGGGGTCTCCTTTTTTCCTGGTTGGTGGGGACAGGTTCCTGGGGGAGTGGGTGCGGGAGGGAGCCGGCTCAGGACCTGCAGGAGTCGGCGGATGTGAGCAATGTATCTGCTCATGGCGTTTTCTTGGAGGCGGTTTTGGGCTGTTCTGGGGGCCTCTCGGAGGCCTCCTTGGGGTTATTGGGGGGCCTCTGGCGGGCCTGCAGGCGGTCAGGTTTCATTGTGAAGGGGAGGGCTCGACATGTCCGTTCGCTTTCTGCCTTTTGGGGCTCTCTTGGGGCAATCTGGGGCCGTTTTGGGGCCCTGTTCAGTAGTCTGCGGGCTTTTTGGGGGGCCTCTTGGGTCGTTTTTGGGGCGGTCTAGAGTGCTGTTGGGCCGTCTCGGCCAGAAGCCCGAAACGCGGGATAGTGTAGAATCCTTGAAAAAACCGATGAGACAATAGTGATTTTGGCTTTTTGATGGCGTTTCGGGGAGCATCTTGAAACGCTCTTTGTGCGTTTGGGGGGTTCTTGATCGTCTGGAGGCTCTTTGGTCGTCTAGAGGCCATCTTGGGCATCTTGAAGCGCTGTTGGGCCGTCTCGGAGCGCTCTTGGCAAGTCGTAGGGGCCTCTTGGGGTTCTCTTGGCCCGTCTGGAGCCCTCTGAGGGCCTGGGCGGAGCACCAGTGACTTCCCAGACCGCCCCCCATCGGACGCGATTTTGGACCCCAGGGGAGGAGGAAAGGGGCAGAGGCTACAGCCAAATGTCTCACACGCCGTCTCGGCGGATTCAATCTTACCTGGTGCTGGCATGGGCGGTGGTATTGCGGTCATGCGCAGATTCCTGCATACCTCGTTTTGCTTCTCATCTCTGAGCCCTGGTGCGAAGCAGACCATGCAGCTCAACATTCTGACATTCTGAGCCTCGGTCAGTCCCATCCTTCGATCAGTTCGGGTGTTGCTCTCATTCCCGTAGCACTAATTAGACTTGTATGTTGTATGCTTATTTCAGCTACGACTGATTCCCTCTTGATTGGCATCGCTGATGGATCTCTCCAAGAGCGCAGTTGTGCGAAGGAGAAGATCACGCTCATGATGACACCAGACGATCCTCGCAGCAACCTCCGGCGCAACCTCGGGACACGACGGTCATCTCTCTCGCAGCGTTGTTTTGCGCTCCGTCACTTTGCTGTGCACATGAACACGTGGCAGCCCTTAGGCAAGGGATTATCGGCAAAGGGCCGTTGCTTTATTTCCTTCTGGCTTGAGTTAAGCGACGTTGCCTTCTGGTCAGTAAAACAAGCGTTCTCGACAAGGCCCGGGCGAAACCATTGTTCTCGTCAGGTTGCCACAGTGCAGCCTTGACTGCCCACGCGTCCGTCTGGATGTTTGGCTTTTGCTTGTTTGTTTGCTACCCTAACTCCTCATGCCGCTCTCCTCCAGTTGCTCCTGGCCCTGCCTTCAAGGCGGCCTGCCGGCCTGCATCCTCGAATCCTTTCTCTCCGTGGCATGGTCCTGTGAGTGCAGCCGCCTTCCCCTTGTCCAGAACTGTGTTAAAGGAACGACGTCTGCCGCCTGCCTGCCCGTCTGCCTTTCTCAGCGCTCACTGCCATACCTCTGTAGGGCTTCGGTCGACCATGTCACCTCTTACGGAATTTATATGGCGGATCTCTTTGGGACCCCCCTGCGGTGATCTGCATGTCCCGACCCGGCCTCAGCGGAGCTCGGTTGTGTCCCCGGGTGTGCTAGGTGACGCGGGGACGTTGCAACCTTGGACGGATGGCTCGCCCTTGCGAGGACCAGTCAGACGACCCACGGTTTTTCCACGATTGGTCTCTTTGTCACCAGATCCTTCTATTCCCTATCTCGCGGGCGGGTGTCTTGGGGCAGCCCAGAGCGGCCAGCAGTTTGAGGGTGGGTTTGTTTGTTCGTTGTTGTGTTGCGTCCAGCCCCCCCCCCCTAGTACACACTGGAGACACGATTGGAGAGGCAAGGGGACAACAAGCAAAAGGCAACGCAAACAACAGGCGGCCGTCCAGTAGAAAACGTCACAGCCTGGCGCCCCCCCAAGGGGGCTGGTGGATTGGGTCCTTCCCAGCGGCCGCCTGCGGCCTGCAGTGACCATGCACCCATCGTGTGGGCCCCAGAGCCAGGCCCTGCCAGGTCTGATGTCGGTCTTTGCCAGGGGTGCCCCTGGCCCGAAGCGGCCTCAGCTGGTCCAGGGAGGCGAGGTCGGCCGAGGTGGCCTGCAGAAGGCTCCAGAGGGTTCAATGGGGTTCCACAGCGGCGCGGAAAGCAGGGAACGCAGGGGGCGCCTGGGGCCAGGGTCACCTCCGGACGCCTCCGCAAATGGCGATCTTTGTGCCCTGCCGCCGCATCCCCGTCTTGGCTGTGCCGGTGAGCCAGACCATGCTCTGTTCCGCTGTGTGGCGGCTTGCCTCTGGCGGATTCTGGAACTTCCCATGGCGGGAGACACACTGGGTTGTCTGTCTATCACGGGCTTGGTCTTCGAGAAATCGAAGGAATCACGTCTCGTCCTCGTCGGACGCCCGTGGATGGGACCGTGGAAGCCAGCGGAAGTAAAACAAGGGCGGCCTTGCTGGCAGAAAGAAGCTGGTGGAAACTCGGCGGAATGCAGCGGAGTTGAAGATGGACGCACCAAGAAAAGCCAAGGCCACCGTCCTCAGAGTTGCTGGAGTCGGCCGGGATTCTGCTCGCCTCCCCTGCCCCGCTTGCCGCGATTCTCTTGCGACGCGTCGACGGATCACTGCTTCATGGAGTGCGGGATGGCTACATGTGTGTTTACCTCGTTGGCCTGCGCCGAAAACAATTGAGTCTTTGGTGGCCCTCAGTGCTCCGCCCTCCACATGCCCCAGGATCTGTGTGGACATGCACGTTGGCCTGAGCACACGGCTTGGAGCATCGCATGGGGGGGAATTTGCACGGAACGGAAGGAACCTCAAAGGGGTGCACCACGGCCTGATATACGACGAGACGAAGCGCTTCGAG